AGAGTATGGTCACACAAAGTCCTGGACAAAATAATTAGAATATTTTTGTTTCTTTTTCTTTGCTTTTTTCTTTCTTTTCTAATATAAGGTAATGGAATAGAGGGTCCACTGATACTCCCCAAGTAGAGTATGCAATGCATAGTAGTGTTTGTTTTTGTATGTGTGTTATGTCTATCACAGTAATGAAGGCACATGAAGTTAACTAATTAAGATATGGTGCTATATAAATAAGAAAATTAGGATGACTTATATGGATAAATATAATGCACTTTAATTCTAGAGGAAAAGTCGGATTAAAATACTGGCATGCCTGGTGATCTTGTTAGTATGGTATATGGATTAATTTTATGTAATAACATTTCTGAACACAAGATAAGTGGAATAAGCACTAAATAGGAATATGGTAATGTGTTAGTTTTATGTTTTATTTAATTCGAGGAAAATGGTTCCTATACATTTTTTACATACATTATTGTTGATGGTAATGTTTTGTATGTCTGTCAAATAAAAACGAAATAAATTATTTAAAAAAAAAAAAAAAAGATTAGGGCAGCTCTACAACATATTGACTGACATAAACTCATTAGTAAAAAAAACACTGAGGATAAATGGAAGCTATTCAAAATATTAGAAAGATACATTTCTCAGTATGTATCATTGGGTAATAAATATAAAAGAAACACATTTGAAACCAATGTGGCTTAGTAGAGATGTAAAATAAGAGATTAAAAATAAGAAAAGGGCATTTAAATCAGACAAATCAGAAGCATCCCATATAAGATATAAGGAAGCCAATAATACTTGCAAAAAGGCAATTAAAGTGGCTAAACTAGAAAATGAGAAATGGACAGCCAAAGAAGGCAAAACCAACACCAAATTTTTTTTAAGTACATCAATTCTAAAAAAAACAAAAAATTAAAGTGTAGGTACACTGGAAACAGAGATGGGTCTGTTAGTTAATGAAGACCAGGATAAGGCAGAAATTTTATATAACAATTTTTCTTCAGTGTATATTAATGAGGGTCCCATGGCAAGAGATATGCAAATGATTGCTGCAAAAAACTTGCAGATAAATTGTGATTGAATGACTCGAGATAAGGTGCTATAGCAGTTAAAGAAAATTAATGTAAATAAAGCTCTGGTGCCTGACAGTATTCAACCACGAGTACTCAAGGAGCTAAGTGGGGAAATAAGTGAACCTCTGTATTAAATTTTTCAAGATTCTTTTTGTTTCAGTTATTGTATCGGAGGATTGGAGGAAGGCAGATGAAGTTCCTATATTTAACCCCTTAAGGACCGGACTGTTTTTGCGATGTTGTACATTTGCGACCAGGCCTCTTTTTACACTTTTGTGCTGTTTGTGTTTAGCTGTAAGTTTCCGCTCTCTCATTTACTGTTCCCATACAAATTATATATTGTTTTTTTCAGGACAAAAAGGGCTTTCTTTACATACCATTATTTATATAATCTCATGTAATTTAATTGAAAAAAATTAAAAAATATGATGAACAATTGAAAATAATACATGTTTTTTGACTTGAAAAATCTTTTACTAATCTACAAAAGATAATGAAAAAAACTGCTAAACAGATTCTGAGTTTAAAATACCCAGTGTTTACATGCTTTTTTGCTTTTTTAGTTATTTATAGGGCTATAAGTACAAGTAGGATATTGCGGTTTCAAAACATACATTTTTAAAATTTATCAATAGTGACATTGCAACACTATTATCTGTCATAAATCTCTGAATCACACCCCACATCTACATATTTTTTTAAAGTATACAACCCAGTGTTTTCTTTATGGGGTATGTCCAGTCTTTTTCAGTAGCCACTTAGTCACAAACACTGGCCAAAGTTAGCATTCATATTTGTTTGTGTGTGAAAAAAGTAAAACACTAAATTTTGGCCAGTGTTTGTGACTAAGTGGCTACTAAAACCCCATTTGCAATACCTTGGGTTGTCTTCTTTTGCAAATGGTATGCCATCATGGGGTTAATTCTCACTCCTGGGCTACCAAATGCTCTCAAAGGCAACGTAACCAACCTGGCAATTTTCAATGTAAAAATAGTTGACCCTGTAACTTTCAAAAACACTATAAAACCTGTACATGGGGGGTACTGTTATACTCGGGAGACTTTGCTGAATGCAAATATTAGTGTTTCAAAACAGGAAAATGTATCACAACAATTATATCATCAGTAAAAGTGCTGTTTGTGTGTGAAAAATGCAAAAAATTTAACTTTCACTGAGATTATCATCGCTGTGATATGTTTTACCGTTTTGAATCACTAATATTTGTGTTCAGCGAAGTCTTCCGAGTAAAACAGTACCCCCCATGTACAGGTTTTAGGGTGTCATAGAAAGTTACAGGGTAAAATACAGTGCTAGCAAATTAAATTCCCTGGACTTTCGGCCTGGGTTGTCAGGCAGGTTCCTCAAATTGCAATCAATAAAATTACTTAATTATGTAAAAATATTATATAAATACACACGTAGAATTTAAATATATATGCATATTTATATATTTGAAGTCTACGTGTATATTTATATAATTATTTATGTAATTTTGTATATGGACATATGTATATTTCGTATTATTTTTATTTATTTATTGATATATACATAGATATATACAATTTCATTCTAAGTGTATTTATATATATATATATATATATATATTAATATCAAAATACAGTTAGAATAAAATTTCATATGGATATATATTTTTTTAATTTCTATTATTATTTTTACATTTTTTTATTTAATTTACTTATTTGTATTTTATAATAATATATATACAATATATATAGTTATTATATATATGTGTGTAATTTAATTATAAGTGTATTTTTATATTAATATATCCATATATTAATATAAAAATACACTTAGTATGACATTATATATATATGATATATGATATATAGACATTATTATATAAATCTAATATATGTCTATATATCATATATATATATATATATACACATATATAATTCTATCTTTTTTATTAACCTTTATTTTTTATTGATTTTACACTAGCAGGGAGGCTGCCTGTCAGCACAGGCAGTCCCCCTGCAGGCAGACACTAGGACACCTATTGTGACCTGTCAGGTTGAGCGATCACATGGCCCCAGGGGTCCGAATTCACCATGGGGAGACTGTCTGTCCGCGTAAGTACATATTACCGTTGTTACGGTTCAGGACCGTCAGCGGTCGGCAACGCTAAAAGGCCGATGACGGTCCTGAACTGTCCTCGGTTGTTAAGTGGTTTAAAAGGGCTCAAGATGGGGGTGGGGCCTGAAAGCCAAGATGGCCGGACGTGCTCTCTGAGAGCTCTTACACCAGCGGACACAAAAACGATTATCTTGATTACTCTAACCATGCCTGCAGCACAAGGTGCCCAAAAAAGACACAGAAACACATGGGGAACAGAACTATACCTGTCCCACACCAAAACATAAGGCGAGCACCTGAACCGGCCACGCGGCCTAAACTGGAGCCTGAGGCCTGGGGGAAGCTGCTGTTCTCCCGGCACGGGACCTGCTCATAAGCTTAAATCAGATGCTGCCCTGCTGCCCCGGACCGGCGGGGGATACCCCGGTCCACGTTGGGGATGATTACCCCCGCAACATGGCTCAAACAAGCGACCAACCCTGAAAAAGAACGGGACTACAGCGGCCCAAGCAAGATGGCGGCACACCCCCGACCAGCGACAAAAAACACTCTTGTCAAACCACCTAAGCACGCCCTGGCGTTCTTTGCCCAGCTTCGTACCAGCCTATGGACAACGCTCCGCACCAAGGGTCGGCACTTCAACCTAGCGATACGAAGGGTGGCGGCGTGGATCTGCCCGGCTACCCGACACCACCTGAGTAACCCCCAGAGCGGCCTCCAGACAGAGCCAACCTCGGAGCTCAAAATGGCGGAAAACAGAGACATGCCTCTCAGACTCTGGTACTCACCCTCACACACACCAGAGTGAGAACACCAAGACCGCCCGATCCACTCAGCAACACCGGAATCCTCCAGCCAACGAAGCACAACCCCACACTCAAAGACACGCGCTGACAGCCACGAGGCTTACCGGAATGCAACACAGCTTCCTATCAGTGAAAGACGCGGGCGGAGAGCCACTCCAGGCAGTGGCGTACACATGACCCATGGGGCCCCGGTGCGAAAATTGATCCGTGGGCCCCCCCCCCCCCCGCGGGCCGGGCCGCACATGGCGGTGGTCACCTGGTCGCAGGGGTTACAGGGCTGCGACCCCTGCGACCCGGTATATGCGCCAGTGCATGCAGATGCACACACACTTAAAGGACCACTCTAGGCACCCAGACCACTTCAGCTTAATGAAGTGGTCTGGGTGCCAGGTCGAGCTAGGGTTAACCCATTTTTTCATAAACATAGCAGTTTCAGAGAAACTGCTGTGTTCATGAATGGGTTAAGCCTTCCCCTATTTCCTCTAGTGGCTGTCCCATTGACAGCCGCTAGAGGCGCTTGCGTGCTTCTCACTGTGATTTTCACAGTAAGAGCACGCCAGCGTCCATAGGAAAGCATTATGAATGCTTTCCTATGTGACCGGCTGAATGCGTGCACAGCTCTTGCCGCGCGTGCGCATACAGCCGACGGGGAGGAGAAGAGGAGGATCGGAGGAGGAGAGCTCTCCGCCAGGGTGGAAAAAGGTAAGTTTTACCCCTTTCCAGAGCCGGGCGGGAGGGGGTCCCAGAGGGTGGGGGCACCCTCAGGGCACTATAGTGCCAGGAAAACGAGTATGTTTTCCTGGCACTATAGTGGTCCTTTAAGGACCACTACAGACACCCAGATCACATCAGCTCAATGAAGTTGTCTGGGTGTCAGGTCCCTCTAGTTTTAACCCTGCAGCTGAAAACATAGCAGTTTCAGAGAAACTGCTATGTTTCACTGAGGGTTAATCCAGCCTCTAGTGGCTGTCTCACGGACAGCCGCTAGAGGAGCACACTGAACGTCCATAGGAAAGCATTGAGTAATGCTTTCCTATGGGCGGTTTGAATGCGTGCGCGGTCGCATTCGGAGCTGAGAGGCTGAGGGATCCTCAGCGCCAAGGGAGACCGGCGCTGGAGAAAGGTAAGTGCTGAAGACACACACACTCTCACTTACAGACGCATACACACTAGCTAACAGACACACACATTTACTGACAGAGATACAGTCAGCGACAGACATACATACACACTCATGTACAAAACATACACTCTCATTGACAAACACACACTCAGTAACAGACATCAAACAGACTCACTAACACACACACTCAGTAAGACACACACAGTAACACACTCACTGACACTCACTAGCAGACACACACACTAACACACTAACACTCACTAGCAGACACACACTAACACTCACTCTAACACCCACACTAACACTCACGCACACTAACACTCACGCACACTAACACTCACACACACTAACACTCACACTAACACTCACTCTAACACTCACACACACTAACACTCACACACACTAACACTCACACTAACACTCACACACACTAACACTCACGCACACTAACACTCATGCACACTAACACTCACTCTAACACTCACTCTAACACTCACTCTAACACTCACACACATGATTTTTTTTTTTTTTTATATAATCCCCCCAGCCTCCTTACCTCTTGGAGTGCTGGGGGGGATTATTCCCTGGGGTCCAGTGGGGCTCCTGGGCGGGCGGCCGGTCGGGCAGGCAGGCGGGCGCGCGAGGGAGCACTCAGTGCTTCCTCTTCAGCTCCCTCGCGCGCCGCGTAGGGATGCCGGCGCCGGAAGATGACGTCATCTTCCGGCTCCGGTATCAGTGCGGTGCGCGAAGGAGCTGAAGAGGAAGCACTGAGTGCTCCCTCGCGCGCCCGCCTGCCTGCCTGCCCGACCGGCCACCCGGGGTCAGCAGGGCCAGCCTCAGGGGGGCCCTGGGGTGGTCGGCTCCTGGGCCCCCCAGGGGAAGAGGCTGGCCCTGTGGCTACATACCGGATCGCAGGGGCGGCCGGGCCCCCTGGTGGGCCGGGCCCGGTCGCAGTCGCGACCCCTGCGACCCTGGTATGTACGCCAGTGACTCCAGGTCATAAGGGCGACGGAACCTTGCCGGTGCACCAACCCCGCCAATGTCCATGGCCCGCCTGTCAAGCCTCCAGAACCGGCATTGGCTAATCAAGGCGGTTTATACCGGAGACGGACTATGCCCCTGCAGGTACAGAAGCAGGGATAACACACGGTCCTACCGTACAGGCTACAACTAATGCAGTACTTTCGTGCCAAATTGTAAATCTCGATGGAAATTTTATGTGTGGTGTTGTGGCACATTACACATTACACATGCTTGTTATTTTCATGCACAGAAAAATAAAGAATAAAAAAAAAAGGGGGTTCAAATCCTTTCCTGGAAATTATAGACCTGTGAGCTTAACTTTTGTGACTGGGAAAATATTTTAAGTGCTATTAAGGGATAATATTTAGGCATTCATGGGTAGAACACTGGCTTAAGGATAGAGTACAATGAGCTGTTATTAATGGTACAAAAGTGGTAAGTGGTGTCCCTCAAGGTTCTGTTTTGGGACCGCGTCTATTTAACATATTTAAAAATGATCTTGCAACAGGCATTGAAAGCCATGTTTTAGTGTTTGCAGATGAAACAAAATATTGTAAAGTAATAAAATGTGAGTAGGATATTGCTTGCTGCAGAGGGATTTAGATAGATTGGGGGACTGGACACTAAAATGGCAGGTGAATTTTTTTTTTTATTATTTTTTTACTGATTTTTATCCTCTGCTTTTGCATGGACAGTATTTTTCTTTATTAGACTGTGTGTTTTTTTTTAAATTCAAGATTTTTATTGTTTTCAAGTCATAAAAAGGGGGTTGTAGGGGTACAGAAAGGAAGAAGGGGTGGGGGGAGGAGGGTAACAGGGTCTTTGTTATTATTGTTATGACAGAGTATCATACATTGACATGGATTTACATGACAGTCATATTGTACATCATGAGCAATTGACAAAAGAAGATTGAGCCTGCAGTTAACATTGTACATCGTGTGTGCCAAGCGGAGTAGCCTTCCTGGTCTTGTTTTATAGAGATTCTTCGTCTTTACTTGTACATAGTAGTCGGGGTAGGGTACAAAAAAAAGGGGGGCTTGGGTATAAGGTCGGGTACACAGAGTTCCTGTTTCTTGCTGACTTTGTCTGTAGCTGGTAAGATGCTTGAACTATGAACTAGTGGTTTGCCTGATTTTGCGGTGGTTCTAGTTGCTGCAGCTGTTTATAATTGTTTTTGTTTGACTCTGTATCTAGTGGGAGGGGGGTTCCAGGATGTAACTCCTGGGGTGGGGTGAACTATATTACATCGCGTAACAGTTTACCGTGACTTCACGTATGTTACGTTTGGTTTGTGTGACGTGTTATTGTGTGTGTGGTGTGTTTATTTTCCCAGATAGAAGGTGGTGTGTGTTTATGGGTCTCCGTCTGGGGTGTGTACAGAAGGGGGGGGGGTCGGTCACTTCATGGGGCTGGCGTATGAGTTCTGTTGGTGGACCCATAGATGTGTTGTGTCCCCTTTCCAGGCTTGAGTATGCCTTAAGGTTGAGTTTTCTGGGGTTGGGTGGTGATAAGTCTGGGCAGGCTATAGCTCTGTCTATGGTATATGTGTATGCCCTTCCTTGGGCTGTGGTTGAAAGGTGGGGTGTGTTGGACCAAGTGTTTTTGCCTAGGTCGAGTGCCTCCCGCTATGACTGGTGGGCTGCCTCTGTCAGTGCTAAGGTGTGTGTTCGGTTTGGTTTGTTCCTGAGGTGCTGTTTGTGTCCGGAGTGTTGTGGGGTTGCGGTTTATTTACCAGTTACACTTTTTGCCGTCTCTACGTTGGGTGTGCTCTGGGGTCTGCTTGACAGTGTGATCTGGTCTGGGGTGTGTTAGCACGAGTTCGAGCCTCGCTTTGTGTGGTTGGGTCATTTGGCTGTGTTAGTGTTCCTTGGGTGCCCCCTCCCACCTGGTCTATCCCACCTGATGGGACGTTTGGTAGGGTGGGGAATTCAAAGATCCATGGCTCCCATATTTTGTCGAAGTGTTTGGTGGTGTCGTGTACTAAGGCAGTTAGTTTATCCATTTGCATGGCATCGTTAATTTTCTGTTTTATGATTGTGGTGGACGGAATGTCTGGGCTCCCCCATTTCTCCGCGATCGCTCGTCTGGTTGCCAATGCTAGCTTGGCCAGTAGTTTGTTTTGTGCCCTTGGGGTGTTTTTGAGGGGTCTGGATAGGAGCCACAGCCAAGGGTCCAGCGGGATTGTGGTGTGTAGAGCCTGTGTGGCTAGTCGCGCCATATGTTGCCAAAGTGTGGTTACCCGGGGC